TCAGAGCCAGTATCCAGTAATCCCCCAAATGTCTGATTATTTCCTTTTCCACAATGACTGGTCACTCAGGTAAAAGGCCGTAGATCCCTTTGGGGAAGGCTTCAAAAAAGATTAACAGTATGAGTTCCTGGCAGTGTATTGGAATCCTTTCTCAGGGGATTCAACTGCCTCTTCATTCAAAAAGTCGTGGGTCTTTAAACTCACTCAAGTCTAGGAATTGATTAAGGGACTCTGTTCAGGTGATTTGAGTTAGACTGCTATTTGCTTGACCTGCTATTTGTAGGCCACCACGTAACCCTTCAGTGATTCAGCCAAGCAAACTATTAGATCCTTTCCTAACTTCTTGAGTTGAAACATTGAATGAAGAGTCTGTGCTTAATGGGTCCATATCAATAAACTCAGACTGATCTGTTTTTATGTTCCTTGCACCATTATCCCACACCCTGAATAGCCATTTTCATATATATTCCCCAGGTTTCTGTCTGTACATATTAGAAAAGTCAATCAGTTCTTTTGGAGTGTAGTTTACTTCCTCCTGAGTCATGCTTTGTACTTCATCTTTTGTGGCTTGCTGGACTTAAGTCTACTTATAGGTCTAGAAGCCAAGATTGGTAGTGGGGAAGTGTTTTGAGAACATTCAGCATTGTGTTGTAAAGCACCTGCCTCAGGTGATGCCCCAGGCAACGAATCAAAGGCTCTTTAGAAGCAGCTGGGTTAATCTCATTAGATGGGGATGGAGGGGCTAATGGTTTTACTGGGGAGGGTGGTTTAGCAGATGATTTCTTCAGATAGGTGTGAGAGGGCTGGTTCTGTTGGCAGGAGTGATTCAACAGAATTTAGGAAATCAGGGTCTCCAGTTTCCTGATTATCTGCCCATATGTCCCCATACCAAGTTTCAGGACCCCATTTCTTCCCAATCAATGCCCTCACTTTAATTTCAGACACCTCTCAAGGTTGGCAATGGGTTGGTGTCGTAATTCAGGCACTCTTTCAATAAGACTCTGAGTTTGGTTTTCAGCAATATCAGCTCTGTTACTACAAGAAGTAAGGCTTTCTTTTAAGGTGCAGATGGAAACTTTAAGGTAGTTTATGCAGCACCTGAGCTTTGAACATGCAGCCCTGAGCTCATCTTTTCCTTTCACCAGTTTTTCTAGTGAAAGTAGGATAAACCAACCAGTTTCCCTATACTTCTCATTTGGACAAAATTGTAGAAAGATATCACACATGCAATCACCCAGAGCCTCACCTTTCACCAATACCTGATCTATTGGTGGTGATATTTTGCATATTTGTACTGTCACCTCATGCCATGAATTAGCAGTGTCCTTTTTTACTACTGGAAGCAAAGTCATCAACATCTTTAAGACTAATCAGATTTGAGAACCAATTAAGAAAACTCCTTCTTACAGTTTTGTTTCTCTAGAACCACTCTCAGTACCAAATTTCTTAGGCTGGGTTCTCTAGAGAAGCAAAACCAGTAAAATGTATAAGTATATATATAGAGAGATTTATATCAAAGAAATGGCTCACATGATTGCAGAGGCTGGAAAGTCTCAAGTCCGTGGGTCAGGATAAAGATTTCTCCTGATTCATGTAGCTGCAGGGGCTGGTGAACCCAAGATCGGCAGGCCAGAGAGCAGGGATCTTGCTCACGGTCTACAAAGATCGATGAACCCCAAGATTGGCAGGCAAGATCGCAGATAATCTGCCAGCTCAAGCCCCAAGAACCGGAGGTCAGATGAACAGGAGCCAGGTGTAGGATTCAGAGTGAGCAAAAGCCCATGAGCCTTGCTAGGATGTCCACTTATATTCGATGTGTGCCACATGCCCAGGGAAACTCCCTTTCAATAAGTTGGCTACTCACAGCAGATCCCATCATGAAGGTGATCACATTATATCAAATCTCATCATGGAAGTGATCACAACATCATACGACTGTCAAGTTACAGCATAACTGCCAAACCATTGAGACTCCTGGCCTAGCCAAGTAAACACACAACCTTAACCATCACAGTATGTTATTACTGTATACATATATTTATATCCTTTGTAGACTATATACTGAAAGAGAAGTTATAAGAGCTTCAAAATAAATGTACAAAAAATTTTTAGAATGGCCTTCCTGCTCCCTGATGGGTCATTTTGCATAAAACTTAGGATACCCATCTACTTTGGAGGCTATTATAAAAATCATTGTCTACTCTTTAAGAAAATGATAGCAATGCTGTGTGTACAGCATATTTACTTTGTAATATGATTTATTTTTAAACATTTTTGAAAAGAGGTAATGAATTAGCAATTCTCTGCTTTCATACTGGATATCAGAGCGCACTTCCTTCCCATCATTTCTTCTTTCCCAGCCAACTATTGCCCAGTTCTTGGATCTTCAATAATTGTGTTTTAACTTCATGTGTGTATACACAGATATGTACTTGTTTGCAAACATATATATAACACACAGATGTTCCATAACAAGAAACTTTAAAATAAAATAATTAAAAAAATAAATCTGTGAAGAAGCTATCAGTAGTATTGATAATTTTAAAAACACGTGTGATAGAAAGTGGGCGAATGACCTTAACTGGCTTTGCAAGTTCATTATGAGTAGAACTGAAACATATTCTCACTCTTGAAATTTCAACTGTGCTTTCTGTTATGAACACTTTTAGAGCAAAAATGCATGTGTGCATGTGCCTGTATGTGTGTGTTTAGAAAATGGTATAAAATTGATTGCCTTCTAGTAGAAAGTGAAGCACAAGCCTTTGAGGTTTTTCTCTCTCTAGGGACCTGTCTCCCTCTCCAATATAGCAGTGGGAAGTTGCCTGGGAAGGAGAGCTCCAGCGGCATGTGTTGAGCAAATAAGGTGAACACCATCCACCTGAAGATAGTTGGAGTAAAGCGATTACAGGGGAGCGTGACTAACAGGTTACCCACACCTGGTTCCTCTACTGCCTGTCCGGAACTGTGACCAAGATTGAATCTTCATCAAAACTACCAACACCCTCTATACCTGGATTGCCATTCTTACTGGAAGGTAGCCCTTCTTTTTCATGTTATGAGAGAAAAAAATATATATTGTTCTAAAAGTTGAGGAAATCCAGAGCTGGTTCCCTTTTGCATTGAACAGAAGCTACTTTTCATATATAACCAAGTATTTACTATATTCATAGTCATGGAAAATTGACTACCTTTTTCTCTTTCTAAACATAATACCCTTATCCTTATCTTGATGAACAGGAATGTCAAAGGAAGAGGTAAGTGTTTCAGGGTGGAGTCTTCTTGGAAAATACTTGTTCTTCTTTGACACAATAATCCATGTACCAAAGAATCATGGCAATGTAGAGTTATATGATGCAAAATGAGGCTACACTGTCTTTCTCCCAGTAGAAATCTAATCCTTCAACAGCACAGTTCTTTCCCCATTTACTGTATAGTAGAGGAAATTTAGCCAGCTAAAGTCAATGTCAATCTCAGTGCATTACAGCACTGAGAGTTTTTCTTTTATCCCCAAAATACATGGTCAATTAGACAAATGCTAAACAATGTGACCATTAGTGTTAGTTTCCTTTGGTTGTTATAATTCTGGACTGAGGATTATTCTCCACTCAGAACATGTAATAGTTTCATCTTGGCAAAATTTCAGAATGTAATTGATTATAACCATGGATGTCAAAGAAAATGTGCTACATATTCTTTTTAAACTCTACCATGCAACAATTGCCTGAGACCCAGCTTAATGGCCTAGTAGTCTTAGAAGTAAGTTTTTGTTTTATGTTTTCTACTTAGGATATTTGAGGGAAATTAGAAATTTTTCAAACTACACTTTTGAATTCTACACAATTTACTTTATAAAAGGTCAGTGGATTGCATAAGGTGACTGAATTCATGTACCGTTATCATAAAGCATTCTAAAGCATGTGGACCATGGGTGTCACTAAGGGAATAACTTGATAGTATGAGACTGTGAATTTGATTTTTGCAGAGAGTAACATGTATAAAGATGATAGACTAATGACTCAAATAGGGAGATAACATCAGTTTGTATGATGTTGGCAAAAAATATTGAATATACCATGGATTGCCAGAAGAATGAACAAATCTGTCTTGGAATAAGTACAGCCAGAATGCTCCTTACAAGGGAGGATGGTGAGACTTTGTCTCAGGCACTTTGGACATCTTATCAGTAGGGACCAGTCCTTGGATAAGGACATCATGCTTGATAAAGTAGAGGGTCAGCAAAAAAGAGAAGATCCCCAGTGAGATGGATTGACCCAATGGCTCCAACAATGGGCTCAGGCAAAGCAAAGATTTGAGGATGGTGCAGGATCGGGCAGTATTTTGTTCTGGTATATGTAGGGTCACTATGATTTGGAACTGACTCAATTGTACCTAACAGCAAGAACAACAACCTTCAGTAGTTATTTGCTTCGTAGGAAAGTAACGAAAGCAAAGAGTAGTAATGATAGTCATATCCAACTCTTCCTGTTTAAATATTTCTAACCATTCTTATTTAGTCTCCATGTTTTCAACTGTATAAACCCTTTCTTATACTCTTGTTTACCCCATGCATCTTTCAATTTATCTATTCTACCTATTGTCTAAGAATCATGTATCTATATATACAGCAATAGTTTTTTATTTTCAATGTCTTTGCCTTTCCACAATATGTACATTGTCAATCTGTGTATTTTATCTTCAGGCAGTTTGGTATATATCTCAAATCTGTTTGAGTATATGATTCTAATGTTAATTCTACTTGTATATGTTTTCTTTCAGTTCATTTGATGTTTTCATGACTTTATGCATTTGTCTGTCTATATAACAAATCAATCTATCATATTTTTTGCATTATTTTATCTGTTGTTTCTCTCCATAGTTCCTGTCTCCAATGCTCAAGTTTTATTTGGTTTCTTATTTTTCCATTGGTTATGATACTCTATTTTCTTCCCACAGGAATAAGGTAGGAATGATCAAGAGAGGAGAATCACAATGAAGAAGCCATGAAGGGGACAAATGTTAGCCACCCAGCAGGTTTCATCTTGCTGGGCTTTTCTGACCAGCCCCAGTTGGAGATGTTTCTCCTTCTGGTCATTTCTATCATATACATTCTGACATTGATGGGGAACACAGCTATCATACTGATCTTATACTTGAACCCCAAACTCCATATACCCATGTACTTCTTCCTGTCTAATCTCTCTTTCCTGGACCTCTGTTTCACTACCAGTATTGTCCCACAGATGCTTTGGAATCTCAAGGGCCCTGAGAAGACCATTAGCTACACTGGTTGTGTGATCCAGCTATACATTGTTTTGGGGCTGGGCTCCACAGAGTGTATCCTCCTGACTGTTATGGCCTATGACCGCTTCAATGCTATCTGTCGACCCCTGCATTATGGTGTTATCATGCACCCCAAGCTTCTTTGGCAACTAGCAGCTGTGGCCTGGATCAGTGGTTTTGTGGAGGCCACAGTTCAGACCATCCTTGTTTTCCCATTGCCTCTCTGCAGCCACCACATGGTGGATGATTTTATGTGTGAGGAGCCTGCCCTCATTAAAATTGCCTGTGTGGACACAACCTTCCTGGAAAATGAACTCTCTGTAGCTAGTGTCCTGTATGTGGTTTTACCTCTGGGACTTGTTTTGGTCTCCTACGGCTGCATTGTGAGGAGTGTGCTGAGAATAAAATCAGCTGAAAGCAGAAGGAAAGCATTCGGGACCTGTGGGTCTCACGTGATTGTTGTGGTTTTGTTCTTTGGGACTATAATTTCCGTCTACATACAACCCAAGAGCAAGCACACACAGAAGCACAGTAAATTCCTCACCCTCTTCTATACTGTATTGATTCCCTCACTTAATCCTTTGATCTACACTTTGAGAAACAAAGAGGTTAAGTGGGCTCTGTTAAGGCTGCTGCTAAGAGACTCAAAATAGGGAGAAATGTGAAATACACTTGTCTCAGGAAAAGGCAACTTTCAGTGCAGTCAGTGAGACAGAGGCATTATTTTAATCTTGATATCTATACCAACAGATATATTTTTTTGAGAAAAACTTGTTTTTCCTCAGTGGTGTAACCCTAATACTCCACAGCATGTTTTCACCTTTTCAACATGGGTGACGGATAGCCTGGCATAATTAACGCCATGATGAACCTATAAGTTTTCCTTTTATTTTTCTTTGCCTTCTCCTTTCTGCATACCTTTCTTAATGTTTTGCTCTTTCTGGCCACCTGGGGCTTACAAGCCCCACACAGGAAGATCAGAGCCCAGATGTCTGACATGTACATCTTTAGTCTGATAAGGGGATGTCTGGCATGTATCTCTTTAGTATGATAAAGAGTTTCTTATAATTACCTTGTAATGAATAACAACATGTCTAAGCTTTGTAAAAATCATATATAAGCTCTAATGTAAAAATGCTTTTTGGGACCTCATAGAGACAGCTCGTGTTGCTGTCGGATCCCTGGTGGGACACCTCCTAAATAAAACTTTCTTACTGTTTCTGATTTGGAGTATGTGTCATTGGCACGACTGCTTCAGGGCACTGACGCTAATTGGGCAATAGTGGTCAAAACCAGGATGTGAAAACATATGCCCGAGGGGTCTTAAACAAGTGACCATCTACACGCCTCAAAATATCTGCACTCTAGAAGACTGCTGTCTGTTGTTGCCAGCGAGACATTTTTTCTTTTCACAAGATAGACAAAAAAAAACACAAGTATCCTGTGACCATGATATAAGCATCCTGTGAAACTATCTGTAATCACTAATTATACTAGTAATAATCAGTAACCAATCAGACTGTAATTATTGCAATTTCATTGATTTTCCTGTAATTGCCCGCCTTACCGTTTGGTTTCTCCTTTTACCCCATAAGAATACTTGTATAATGAAACTTCCCTGGGACTACCTGATTCCATTTTCAATGGACTATGTGTTTTCCCTATTGCAATTATTTTAAACCCTTAATAAACCTTTCTGTTTTAATTTGAAACAGCATTAAACTTTTTCTCTGCAATATATTAACACAATTCCTCAGATGCTAGGAAATATTAAGTACGTCTCATTATAGTTTCTCCTTTCATTTAGGAGGAGTTAAATCACCTAAATAAAATGAGACATGAAATATCCTTCTAACGACATCCTACTCTAAATCCTTCTTATCCACTTTTCTGGAAAATGTTATTTGTCTCCCTTTTGCCCACTTCATAAATCATCCAGGAAAAAAATGTCTATAGTTATGTACATGTGTATATGTTTTGTATACTTTAAGAATCCTAGACGTGTTGCTGTAGGAACTGGCTAATGACATGACTGACATAGTTATGACAAGCCTATTTTCACATCATAGAAGTAAATCTTCTACTTCACGGAGGTAGGGCTGGGATCTTAGATATTGAAATTAAGTTTACCTAAGAATACTTCCTATTGTTTTCCAGTCTCACCTTCAATAGTTTAGTCAAAGGGTTCTGTCCACAGTTTACACCAAAGTGTGAAGGTCTGTTGGAAAACCCACAATAATCTAACAGTTTGCCTTACTTGGGGGTATTACTGATTCTTGTTCAGTCAGTACAGGCCTCTGGGACTAAGTATACCCAAGGATTTTTCTCATCTCTCCCACCCACAGAAGAAGCCCCCAAGAGAGATGTGCCATGAGGCTGAATGTTTCTCTTTTATGCATCTCTCATCAGACTAGAATAACTCTCAATCCCTTTTGATCAACCCCTTAGTTTTATACCTGGAATCTGAGATGAATATGCAAACACAAGTTTAAGTCTCATCATTAAATCTGAATATTTAAATTTGATAAAAGTGAACAAATTGCTATACAAATGAAAATTGTCTTTGTCATTTATATAATATTCATTTTTATTGATATTATAACTTGATAGAATATAAAAAATTGTTTTCATATTGAGTATAACATTTTTATCTATTCTAATAGCATTCTTAACAATTTTGACAATACTTTAAATTTGAAAATATTAGCCATGTTTTCTGTATGTTCAAAATCGTTATTTATTAACAGAATATTATCAAGATTTCTATTGTCTCTACTACTAAACCCTGCTTAGGCATACTTATTGCATATTATATTTTACAAATATTGTTATTATAAAAAATAAATGCTTTAACAGAGATTGTTCCTAGGGAATCATTTTAATACAAATAACTAACTCTAGGTGAATATAGCATGGAGTTGAATGGGGTGGCTAAAAAAAATAAAATACATACACACGTTGGAGAAGAAAATTATGATCTAGTGAGAAGGATATTGTTAAGGTAACTTAGATGTTGTCTGTGTAGACCTTGTATCTCTCTGTTCACAAAATATAATTTGATTGACTGCAGTGCTTAAGAGCTATGGCTACTAACCAAAAGGTTTTATTCAAAGCATCTCCTGGCTGTGTTGGCTATCAACAGCCTTCCTCTGGGACAGAGTAGAACTACCCCAGAGGATTTCTAAGGAGTGGCTGGTGGATTTGAACTGCCAACCTTTTTGCTAGCAGTGAAACACTTAACCACTGTGCCAGCAAGGCTCAATGACCTGCTTAGACATTATCTAACAAGAGCTTAATTGATAGCAATGGGTGTGTCTCAATTGGGAGCTGCTCACACCAAGTAGAACCTGCCCCCTCCTATCCATTGTTCTCAAATCACTACACACAGCTCAAGCCAGTCAAATACACTTTACTAGCCTACATACAGGGGGGGAAAAAGATGCAATTTGTCTTACTGAGCCTGCGTGCCTTGATAATCCATGTAGTCTGTAATGTTAGTATGTATTTCCTTGTGAAAGATGGTATAAAAAGTTCTGCCTCCCTTTGTTCAAGGAGATTGATTTGAGGTATACACCTCCTTGCTCCTTGCCTTCACACTTGTAATAAACACTCTTCCTCCCTCCTCACCTGGGTGTGTCTTTATTGATGACAAGCTGCACCAAGAGGACCTGCTTTGTCTAACATCATGAGTTGGAATCGACTGGACAGCAACTGGTTTACATTTTAGTAAATATTTTTGTTTTTCTGATAACTTTTTATTGAAATATATCATACTTAAGGAAAACAAATCAAAAAGAGTAAAGCTCAATGAATTTTCACAAAATGAAATAATACCCTTGTTACCAACACCCACATCAAGACACAGAACATTCAGCACAGTAGAAGTCTTCCTTGTGCATCTTTCAGGCACTAGGCATGCCCAGTAATTATTTAGGCAAGACTTTTTGTTTCTATACTGTTTTAAACTTTTTATTTAGAAATTATTTTAGATATACAGAAAAGACACAAAAATAGTAAGATAGTTCCCATATACCTGTCCCCAGCTTCCCTAATGTTAATATTTTATGCATTTGTAGTAGGATTTTTCAAACCAGGAAATTAACATGGGTGTAATATTATTAAATAAACCACAGATTTAATCAGAATTTCACTAGTTTTTCTACTACTGTCTTTTATCTGCTCCAAGATCCAATCCATCCCAAATTGCATGTGGTTATTATGTCTCAGTCTCTTCCAATCCATGACAGTTTTCCCATCTTTTATTGTGTTTCATGACATTGACATTTTTGTAGAGTACTGGTCAGTTGTTTTATAGAACATCTCTTAGTTTAGATTTATCTAATGTTTTCTCACTATCAGATTGAGGTTACACATTTTTGGCAAGAATACCACAGAAGTGAAGCTGTGTTCTCAGTTCATCATAACAGAGTGTATATGGCATCAATATATTAACCTTGATCGCTTGGTTAAGGAGCTGTCTTCAGGGTTTCTTCACTACAAATTTACTTCTTTTTCCCTTTGTAATTAATAAATGACTTAGGGGAGATACTTTGAAATTATGAAAATATCCTGTTTCTCCTCATACTTTTGCCCACTGACCTCCCAGTGGATCTTGCCTGCAATAATCACTACTGTGAAGTTTGCTTGATGGTGATGTTGGATTTCTCTTATTCCTGGTAAAGTTATTAATTGGAATTCTTTTGTAAAAAAGAGTGCTCTTTCTTTCCTTCTTTCTTTCTTTCTCCCTAACTATGAATTTATGTTTCCCAACCTTCATAAGCAGAAATCTATGAATTACATGACCAATATTCTAATTTGGTATCAAAATTCAAAGTCAAATTATTTATGTTAGATTTGGAAGCATCTTTAGAAATGATTTATTTTAATTTTTCAAATATTACAAAGGAGATTAAAATTACATAAGTGCTGATGAGTGTACTACATATTAACTCAGAATCAGAAATGAAATCAAAATCGTGATTATTTCTCACCTGTCTTTCTCTTCCAATACTCTAAAATATTTTAAAAACCTTTAGATGACAAGAAATCTTTCAAGGAAGCTTTCCACTCCTACTCATACTTAACAGCTGTCTATCCTGATTATGTTGAAGATTAGCTTAATTCTCTCCCATCCACTGAGAACCAGTTTATAATCTGGAGGTGAGGTTGGAGTCATTTTGCCTTCTCCAAGGTTCAGATCTGAAAGTTGTGACTTGAAGGGAATCTCTTAACAGAATCTGAGAAGGACAGTGATCAGAGACTGAAGTCTGAAAACATGCATGTGTGTGTGTGAAATTTTATCCACATAAAAGGATTTTAAAACTATTTTCCTTTCTTGATATCTTTTCAAATCTGAAATATGAAAAAAAGACTATCAAGTGCTATTTGGAGGTGGAAAAATTCTCTTGAGGAGAATCCTTTTCCTTTTGGCAAAAGTGATCAAGAACTTCCTTTCCCTTGTATATTTTTCTAATTCTTCTTGTGGTAGGAATAATTATGATATTTGAGAAAGATACATACAGGTTAGATGTCAGAAAAAACTTCTGAATGGAAATCTGAAGGACAGACAAAGTAATTTAAAGAAGTAGCTGAGTCAGTCAGTGTTGACCAGTGTAAGTGGAGGCAACTCAGAGGGAGAAGATGTGGTGATATGAGAAAATAAGACAGGTTACATACATTGGCTAAGTTGTCCCCCTTCTCAATTTACCTTTTCCAAAGTGCAGAGAGGAAGATAATTGGTGACTTTAACATATTAGAGATTCTCCCCTAA